CCCCAAAACCCCAAAACCCCTATACAGTTATAATAAGAAATTACAGAATTCAACATTCTTTATAAAATCTAAAAGTAGAAATATAGATTTTGAAGATTTGTTGAGTAACTTATAAAATCTTAATAAAAGTAATTAGTGCACTCAATGGTTTTAGAGTATTGATTTGATCAAAAGCTTCTTAAATAGCAATCGCAGTTTATCAAAGGACATTGACTGAGAAATCTTAATCATCTAAGAACTTTATCTTCCTGTCATAATCCAAATAATCACCTTAATTAGCCTTTCCAATCATTATTTTAAAAGCAGAAGGAATAATCGATTTATTCTATTATCTTAGATACTCTTGTCTGGTTTCGTATTTAACGAGCAAGTAGTAACCTGTGAATATCAAGATAGCATAGAGCAAAAAGGTAGTAATAACTGATTCAATTTAGATATCATTCATGTAGAATTAGGTAGTCATTTCCTCATTGAAAAGTTATTGCCATTAAACGTCCTTTCTAAATGCATTAGAAGGAGGATCCAATTAAGTTTCAATTTTGGTTACTACCTATGTTTCCTCTTAATAGTTTGGATCATAAACTTTATTAATAATTTATTACTATTCTTCATTTTTCTTAGATTCTGTAGTGATTTTTATCTAAGGAGAATTATTTATGTTAGTATGAGAAATATCCTACTTTATTTACCAAACAAATAAACTAACTGGAACTTAAGTTTTATTTGAGGTTTAATTGCATCCACATGACTAGGTGACGCATTATTCTATGTCAAATCTACCGCCATCGACTAATAGACAAGATTTCTTGCATTCTTTGGTACACAGATTAGAATCAACTTAGGAGTAGTAGCATTAGCATTAGTTTATATTGCAAGAATCCAAGACTCTCAGACTTACTCCTAAATTTATCAATTCCATGCATTCTTCTGAGCATTATAGGTTGCAATTTAATGTGAGGTTATAACTATTATTGATATCTTGAACAGTCTCTTTCAATAATGCATTTTCTTATTTTATACTGTCTTCACTAAAAAATTGTAAAAATATAAGGCATTACATTTCTAAGCAAGATTTGTAAGTATTTACAATATTGTCTTGAATATAGGGTCTATCAATAAAGCATTAATCTATTTTTGATAAGTCCTAATCACTATCCTGTAAGTATTCTTGTAAATGAACAATGTATGACTCCATTGAATGCTTATATCTTATGAGAGTGTTAATTTTTCTGTAATTAATCACATCAGGATCATAAAGTAATCGATCTTAGACCTATTTATCTAACAAATTCCATTGATCAGTGGAAAGATCTCCTTCTGATATTTTTAATGTACTTAAAATATATGCTTCTGTTATTCTTTCGACTTCAAATCTTATCTTAGAAAAATCAATCTGACTTTCTTAATGTCTTAATTATTGGTTACCTTGAAATTATATAAACATGAATGAAAATTACATTTGATAAAAGGGGGACACAGAAATACTAGAGTTGTTAGTAGTTGTAACATTAATTGCATCTTTATTTAAGAATAACAAAACTAATTGATAAAATGAATATATCAGAAGTATTATGTCTATAGTATTTATTACTTTTTAAGTTATATACCAATTTCATAAATCCTAATCATTCTTAAATTAGAGTTAAAATAGTTTCAAATTAATTTTTAAATTTCTTTTCCTTTTAGGAATTGAGATTATAGGGGTTTTGGGGTTTTGGGGTTTTGGGGTTTTGGGG